AATTGTGTACGAATACATCTGTCAGAATCCGCATCCCATCCACATACGCGTGCACAAGTATATTCCAACAAAGCCCCATACCTTGGGGATATTATACAGCTCGTACACGCCTCCTTCGGCGCCGTTAGTCAATAGAATAGCGGTTTCAGCGGGATTAAAGTGCATGGTGAGCATGGGGATAAGCGGTCCAGGGCGTTTGATGGTCATCAGGGGCACGTCATTGTTGTTCTTAAAGTTGAACGCCCTGAGATAGAGGTAGGAGGTATGACAGAAACCGGAGAGCAGATGCGTGTGTGAGAATAGAAGGCATACGTATACTTGGACTCGTGATCAAGCTGGAAGCGTGCCTGTTCGAAGTGGCTCTCACCCAGATATGGTCGTGTGTATCGAGCTTTGTGACGGTACAAACAGACCCGAATTCATGAAGCGGAAAGTGAGTGTGAGCACTTCAACTCAGGATGAAACATTGCGATACAAACTGTGAAAGTGGCCCGCTGCAGCTTCAGACCAACCACAGGCATACATATCATACGCTTCACCATGATACATCGTACACACCCACCACATACATATCGTACGTTTCACCATGATACATCGTACACACCCATCCCATGCATACCTATCATACGCTTCACGATGATACATCGTACACACCCACCACATGCATACATACAATACGCTTCACCATAATACATCGTACACATATCCACGTGTAAATATACACAACTTCAACTACATCTCCATACTTCAGGTAGAATATAGAACTGGTCGTCATATACAAATAATACATGTATTATATATATATCGCATACCCATCTATATATGACTATGCACAACCCCGTCAGCATCTACTTACCTCAGGTAGCGGTCTTTAATGTAGAACAAGCTGTGCTCGTGCACCGCAATAGCGGGACGCTCTCGCTGCAGCTTGAACACCACCATGCCCGTGTCGTGACCAGCTGCAAACACATTACTCTCCGGATGAGCCACAAGCACCCAGAAACGGTCGTTCTCACGACGGTATGTCTGTACACCTGCGTGTGTGTGCGTGTGTGTGAGTATGTGTGTGTCAGCGGCGATATGCATTGGTTCACTGCGTTTGTGTGCGTGTTGATGGGTACGCGCGCGCGTGTGTGTGTGTGTGTGTGATGAATATATATATATATATGTGTGTGTGATGTTGTGTGGTGTGTAGAAGTCACGTGTGGATGAGAGGGTGGTAACCGGCAAGCAATATCCTTGTCTGTCTGGAGACCCCGTTCGCTTATTGTAACTATACCTCCACGTCTTGCGCAAAATGACTGTGGTCAGCTAACAGTGGATGTCTGTGACAAATGCACAGCAGACTACTATCAGTGCAGAATTACTAAACGCGCAGAAGTTCGTAGAGCTTGAACCCAGGTCAACACACAAACCGTGAGATGCTATCTGTATACGTCCACACAACCATTCGGATAGAGCTGCAGACTTCATAAATACAATCCTATGTAAGACAATAGACGGTAGAATGTAATATAGCCACAAACCGTTAGGTGTTATTGTGTATATGACCGCAGCCTGGCAAACGGCCGCACTGACTTGCAAATAGAGCTACATGCTCTATACAATAACTGTGCGTGATTTTGCAAAGCTTGAAATAAATAGAACGATATACTGTGAGACGTTATATATATACCATCGCAACGTGGCAACCGGCCGGACGGTCATACAAATACAGCTATATATCTTATATACATAAGCATATGTGGATATACAACAAACAATGTATATGTCATATATATAGCACAGGCTATGTATACATAAACATACGACTTCTAACCTACACTCTTGAGTACAGATACACAAGCACCCTTCTTCACTTCCCTCTATCTAAAGCACACGTATCGAGAGTACTCGCCTCACCTGTGCGTTTGGTCATGTCCCATACACGGATCGACTTGTCTTCGGAATTACTCAGGATGAGATCCTCGCGCGGGTGGAACAGACAGCAACTGACGTTGTTGAAGTGGCCTCGGCATGTGTCTACTTCCCACGCCCGGGTCTCATTCATGCGCCACAGCTGTCACGTCAACGAACAGAAGCGAGTTTGAGAAACATGTGTGTATGTGTGAATGCAAACCAACACACCACGGTGATGTTTGTTGTATGACATGCTTATCCTATCCGAGTACAGCCCTAGCGCATGCAAACAACATGGAGCAGGGCTAGTGACATGAGAATACAGACGAGACATCTACACTCCTAGCGAACGAATATATACACACGGGATACTCGTACACGGTAACGTATGGCAATACAGACACAGACAGGAGACCAACGCTGTACCTTGACGTGTCTGTCGTCGGCACAGGACACAATGAGTGGCAGAGTGGGGTGGAATGCGCACCAGTTGACACCACGGTCGTGGCCCTCGAGCACGTGTTTGACAATGGCATCGGATTGGCCAAAGAGCTCTGGGTTTTGTCCGTTACCTCGATTTCTGATTAAATTGGAATTGGGATGCGAAATGCGGATTTGGGGTCACCAGTTAGTAAACGAAAGTGGGGTTGTGGTGTGTTTTGGATGAGAGGTTTGATTCTCGGCATAAAAAGATTGTGTCTGTGCGAATGGAGCATATGTGGCAAAAACTACCAGGGAACAATAGTTACGTAGAACCACTGGTAAACTAGCTGCATGAACAAGCGATACCACAAACGTTTTGCTCAGGTCACTCAGTCATGAGCTCGACCAGAAAGATGGCATAGATACAACGGTAATCGGCTTGCAGCACAAAACAGACTACGACACTATTGAATTCGGCACACACACATATACTACAAGAAACTCTCCTTGGCTGCACGCACAAATACAAGCTTATACCATTGATAGCCCCGCGTGGGCAAAGAGATGACCAGTCACCAGTCACATGATAGAATTAAACACACAATAGCAAATACTACTGACCGTTGCACAAACGTATACAAGCCAATACCTTTGCTGATCGCGCGTGGGCATAGGGGGAGGCCCGCCCATACCAGGGAAAGTCTTTTTACGCAAACCAGAGATATCCCACACACGCACAGTCTGGTCCAGAGACGCAGACACCACCAGATCCTCCTTGGGATGGAATTGTGCACACATTACGTAGTGGTTGTGTCCTGTTAAGGTGGCTATACATGAGCGCGACTGCCAGTTCCAGATGCGGATTGCCTGGTCGTCTGAGCATGTGATGATCCAGGGGTATTCCTGTACATGGTAAATAGAATGCGGTGCCATTATTAGTACAAGTACAGGGAGATGCTTCTGGAACGTGCGAGCTCAATGCGGCTAGCAGAAGAAGGATATGGGTTGGTGGTGAAAAACGTATAGTCTTAAACACAACTGAGAGATACGTGCATGTTTGCAAACGCTATAACTTCAGAAGTAAGACTTCTAACACCATTTGTTGAATATACGCAATCCACTAAACATTTATTTACTATGTGCAAAACGATGACCTGGTAGTTTGAATAGGTGACTATTCCTACACCATGTAGCGTTAACATGTATATATATATATATATGTGTGTGTGTGTGTGTGTGCGTGTGTGTCTGTGT